AAATATGGGCACACCAGGGGTTTTTCTGCAAGTGCTGTTGAGAAAGTTATTAGTCATCTAAGAGGGAGGCAGATAACCTTTTTAGACTGACTGGCATTCGATCACTGACATTTAAAAATTCTTGATATTTTGATCTTTTTCCATGTAAATCATAGTTTCTTGGTTTATGGTATTTTAATTAAGAAAAGGTTGATAACATCCCCTAATTAAGGTTAGAGCATACTTTGAAATAATAGTATTGTTACCAAAAAATATATTGTGCTTGAGAGAATAGTGCAGAGAGGCCATTAGGTTGAGAAAGAGAAAGCAAACTCAGGATATGTTTGCCATAAAGCACAGATATTTAAAAGGTTCAAGGGATTACAGTTTTTAGTGACTTCATTCTCCAGCTTTCCTTTTCTTATCATTTACATAATTTGCGAGCTTTCCACAGCTCTTCTAATGGCCCAAAGCTCTCCCTAATGGCTATACTGAATGTCACAGTTGACCCAGGAATAATTAGCCACTGACTAGTTGATTGACAGCCAGAACCCAAATCTGCAAGAACTTTTATTCAAACTCAAAATTCTAGGCTTTTTATTTAATAGTTCCAAATGATCTGTCTCTACCCAGATGCTTACTTATGATTTTGTGTATAAATAATCATATGACGTGAATGTCATGTTTCTTCTTCCCCCATGGCTGACAGGTCACTGTTGACATCGAAGATGAGAATGACGAAGCTCCTGTCTGCACACCCTCTCTATATAAGGCAGTCATTTTTGACAATGTTGTTGCTGGGACAAACGTCAATGGCTTCAAACTAAACTGCCACGACAGAGACTCACAGGATTTTGAAATGCGCTTTGAGATGGTTTCTGGTGGATGATTTCATTATTTCTTTTAATCACGAGCATGTGTCAAATTGACAGTTATATCCTGTTAGACATAATATATAACTTTAGAAATTACTATGTTTATAAAGGTTAAACTATTTAATATCTATAGCATTGTTTCCTCAAGGCATCATTTTTGCCTCCACATATCCAATTTGATTCCTCCTATAATGGAAATATCAGTGATTCCACAGACTCTGTGACAGCAGAGACTTTGTACGTACACGGGAAATGGTGAAGGTTAAGTTACACGGAACTAAGTCTGCTGTCCATGGTGCTGGGCAACGGCAGCCACTTTTCCATCTGATGCTATGAATACAGATTCACTAGGATACATATTTCCAACTGTATTATTGTTGGATTTACACAGATCCATATCAACTTTAATTATCATCTTGTCCTCTATGGAAGGCATTTACTGGAGACCACATATGTGTCAGGCACTGTGCTAGGAAATGAGAACACAGAAGTATATAAGACATGGATCTTATATTCATGGCACTCATTGTTACTAAACTAGTAGTAACACCAACAATTATAAAATTATAAACTGAAAATTTCTATAAAGGTAAATGACTGGGTATTATGGGACAGCATAACAAGGAGACCTATTTAAAGTGTGGAGGTCAGACCTGCTGTCATGTACCTGAAAGAATAGAAGCATAGAAATCAGTAAAAACATTGTCAATTAATCATAAAGATTAGCTTGATGTCCTCCACCCTTGATAGTTGATAAGCTCCGTGAAGGTAGGGACCATATGCATCTTGTTTACAATAGTGTCTCCAGGGCCATGAAGAAGACTTAAATTTAGTAGAGGCTCAATAGATATTTGTGGTCCGACTGGCTTATTTGATATTAATCTAGACTAAGTTGAAGATGGGGATCAAATTGCTCTGAGTGGAAAACAAAGGAAGGAGAAGCAATTAGAATAATTGGATAATAGTGTGAAGCTTGCTAGCCACATATGGGAATCAGATTCATGATCTTAACCTTTAAAACATTTCTTCCTAACCAACCAAATTTCTTACTCATTTAATCTTAATTTTATTATAAGCCATGTATAGATAATAGGAATTTAGAGTACCATGAAAACTTTATTTGTTTATGCCCACTATGTTTTAATAGCAATTTAAGGTAGCTTGAGAAAACCTTTCACTATATCTCAAAATAATTCTGATTTTTCAATGATCTCTTTTAAAGGAAATGAGAACCATCATTTTGGATTTGACCCAACTCGAGGTTCAAATACTCCAAAATTAGTTGTGAAGAATCCTTTTAACTTTGAATCTAGAGCCGAACTGCAGCGGCAGTACCATCTTGTGGTGCATATAATTGATGACAACCTGAAACATGGCAAATCCGCCAAGCCTAGGACAGGCACTGCTGTTATAGATATTTATGTGACAAGAGCCAATATGCCACCTCCTCCAACCACCAGTTCTGAAGTAAAGAGTTATAGAATTTAATTTGGGTCTCTGTGTGGGAAATATTCTATTGTAAATTCAAATTTCATCTAGAAATTTCATCTAAAAGGCTCCTCAGGGCAGCACCTTCACCCATATGCCTTTTCAATTGGGTACTGCCCTATCCAGCCACTGGACCACATTTTAGAGTGTGCATCTCAGAGTTTAAACAGTGTGGGTGAGAGAAAGTTTGTGATAATTGCAGATGGAGCATAGAGAACTGCTAAGCAACTAATTACATCTGAATGATCTGAAAGTCCTGCCCTCCATGTTCACTGAATTTTATCAGTTAAAAATCTCTACAAATGGGCACTTTTAAAGATTTTTCTTAGTAGCCATGCTATTCATAGAGATGGGCACCTA